CTTTCCACATCGGAACATTATTTCGCTATTTATGAAGAAATTTAAGTTACATAGAAGGAAGTGTTTCTGACCCTATAATGTATATATATTCTTGATCAGCATCTGTCTGTCTGTCCGTATGAACGCTGAGATCTCAGGAACTATAAGAGATACAAAAATGAGTTTAACCATTAAGATTTTTGAGGTCGCTACGCAGCGCTAGTTTATTACAGCATCCTGCCACGCCCACTCTAACGCTCACAAATCGCGAAAATCTCAAATCGCTGGAATCTCAGGAACTATTAGAGCTAGAAAGTTGAAATTCAGAATGTATAATCTTTACATGCCAGCGCATCTTAAGTAGTACTTCTATCCGGCCTCAAACACCCATACGCCCACATGGCTCAAAAGACGGTTTTCGCATTTTTTAGAAAAGCTGATATCTCGGTAACTATAAGTGATAGAAAGTTTGAATTAAGCATGTGGGTTATTATGATGCTCCCAGTGCGAATTGTTTTTTTCCGGTAAAGCCACGCCCGAATGCGAAAATCTCGGGAACTATAACAGATAGAAAGTTGTGTTTAAGAATACGTATTTAAGAGATGCCACTGCACCTGGCCACCTTATGAATGCCTTCGTTTGACCTTGTATAACTTATTTCTGTTAATATATATCGATTTAGCAAAGATTTTTTAAATCGGAAAATTATTTCGGTATTTATAAAGAAATTGACGTCACTATCAGTTACTCAACATACTTTCTCTTACAATAGGTGGCACCTTGTGAATTTCCACTAACAAAATGAATATCTTAAAATTGTGTAAAACAGTAACGGGTATCTTATAGTCGCGGCACCCGACTAAAGCGTTTCCTCTTGTTTAATATGGTCTTTTCTGTTGTCTGGATAAGATTGTTAGAATAAAAAAATAAACCGTGCACTTAATGAGCGCGTTTCCGTTTAATCGCTAAGATCAAGAGATAGAAAGTTACGATTAAGCCAAATTTGGTTGTTTTACGCTGCTATAACACATAATTTAATCCTGGTTGCCTTTGTGCGGCTTCAGATAGTAGGCAACTGACCAATTACAGATCCACTCCTTTAGTCGATAAACGCACTGCAATGCATAGCTGTCGACTACAGTACTCTATCAGACTCTACCAGGATTAAGGAAAGGGCGTGGTTTTGTAACGCGTTTGGTTCAGAGGTCTCCCATGATCAGATACATCAGCTCAAGGTTTGCTCTAATATATTCGATAATAATGCAATATTACTGTCTTGCCGAAGTCCATAACGCCGGCGCACTGCAATACCTATTCTCCTTAAGATCTCTCGTAGCAAAGTCATCACAATTGTATAGATATATTTTTTTCTATAACCTTTCCTTTAATTATTGAATCTACCCTTAATTATGAGACTAACAATAAGTTGACGAACCTTAACATTAAAATTTAACTAACAGTATACTCAGACTGCATTCTGGTTGCGCGTCCCTCAGGTCGGTCGCTGGGTGGGTAAGTCATTGCGACGAAGGCGTGATTGGTTGCTCAACTTTGTGAGACCTCTCGCCAGGTGTTTAGGGTGCACCGATATGCTGGTGAAGTATTTTACCTTCTATTCTGCGATCACTTCATTGACTGATAGAATGTTTAAGTCGCGGTGCGAACGTACCACGGTGCCCCGGTGATTATTCTCGCAGCCCGGGGATTTTTTCGGATTCAGTTGTCTTTTGATGATGTTAACGATATCGTTTGGGCGAAACTCAATTGGCTCATGTTGAGCCTGGGTTTCATATGATAGAGTCGGAAAAGTAAACGCATTAGTGGCAGGATTTGGCTGGAAACATTTTTAATGTGATTGGCAAACGTGCTGGCTCTGTCTGTGGAGCTGCGCGCCCAGTCGCCTGTGGTCGCCCAGTCGCTCAATGTGTGAGCTAATATACTTCCTGTACTTAACCCAATTGGTTTTATGTAAGGTCAGTTTTAATAATTGATCCCATGTTCCTGGATGTCGGAGTAGAGTAAAAAGGACAGGAGAATGATCAGATGAAAGATCCGAAAGGCATTGGCGCTTATCAGATTCTTAGGAATGTTTTTGGTAATCGCAAAGTCTATTAAATCGGGAAGTTTTTTTGGGTCTACCGGCCAGTATGTTGGTGTACCAGAAGAAACATAGTCGAGCTTGTTCTTAGCTTTGATAATTGCATTATAGAGCTGCTTTCCTTTTGGAGTCACGAGACGAGATCCCCAGTGTGTGTGCTTGGCATTGTAGTCTCCTGCTGCTATGAAGTGGTCTCCGAGTGAGTTGAAAAACTGCATAAACTCATCTTCGGCTATGGTGAAGCGTGGGGGCAGTATACGGCGACTAGAGTTAATTGCTTGCCAGTATTTAGGTGTATATTTATGGATGTGGCCTGTAGGTAGTTTTTAGCTAATTTCTTATGATAATGGTGCTTAAAACGGCTTCTAATTAAAATTTCAGTCCCGCCGTGTGCTTTACCATCTGGATGATTTGTTCCATAGAATGAATATCCTCGTAGTTGGAAATTGTATCCGTTTGTAAGATGTTTTCCTGAAAGCAGCATTACGTCGATTTGATTGTCCAGAATTATGCTGCGAAACGCCGTTAGCATTCCACGTAGATATTAGATATATATTATAGATTTTGGTTTCGCATCAGATCTTGCATAGTTGTACGCATAAACGACATAAACTCCGTAAGGCTTTGTTGTAGACTACATATCATAGCTTCATATGCTGATGCTGATGAGCCGTGATCTGGCTGGTTTGACCTGGAGGCTAACAACTGCTTATTTTGGTGGATACGACTTTTCAGCTCCTCCTGGGCAACCTCTATAGTTAGCAGTGTGATTTCCACCGCAGTTGCCGCACTTTTTCGAGTTGTGGTCATGTTTGCTCGCTGGGCAGTGTGCGGAGTCATGAAGCTCACCAGAAACTACACACACCGGGCGCAGTTTACAGTAAGACTTTGTATGGCCGTATTCTTGGCAGTTCGCACATTGCACGTCCTCAACTGTTATTCTGCGGATCAGCAGGAACTGAAGAATGTATATAGGGCGAACTCGTATTTATTTAAGGGCTTAATTTCTGGTTCGAGCTCAACCTTAAAGAGTGGCTGCGGCTTTCTATCCCTGTTAAGGATATTGAAGACTGTCTTAGCGCTAAATCCCTTTTCTTGTAGGGCCTTTGTTATCTCTGCAGGCGATACTTCGGATTAGTTTCGGATGCTTTGAAATAGAAGTAAGCGTCGTTTCTTTGTACTGAGAGCCGTCTCTCGTCTAGCTGAAGTTGACTTGTGGGCGAACGTCGTTTAAACTCATTGCAATCGAGGTTGAGTTTGTTAGAGTTTTAAGTGTTATGTTTTATGTTAATTGAATAATTAATCAATAAAACATTAGCGATTTCATCTCTGAAAGCGTCTTTTCGCGTTGTTGTTGATTTACGAAACCAGTCACTGCAATTTCTGGATATTATTGAATACTTTTTCCTGGAGCAAAATAAATACACGTCTGCATGCGAGGACGACTCGCGTGTTACTCGATAAGTAAAAGGGTATACTAGATTCGTTGAAAAGTATGTAACAGATAGAAGGAAGAGTTTCCGACCCTATAAAGTATATATCCATATCGATTGATCCATGTCGGTCTGTCCGTTCGTCCGTCTGTCCGTATGAACGCTGAGACCTCAGGAACTATAACACATACAAAGTTGAGATTAAGCATGAAGATTCGTTGATTCGCTGGGACAGCGCAAGTTTATTTCACCATCCTGCCACGCCCACTCTGACAGCCACAAATCACAAAAAACTAAAATTGCTGAAATCTCGGGAACTATCAGAGCTAGAAAGTTCAGTATGTATAAACTTTGGATGCCAGCGCATCTTTTAGTGATAATATTATTTGGCCATACCTACCCATACGCTCACCAAGCTCAAAAGACTCTTTTCGCATTTTCAAGGAAACCTGATATCTCGGTAACTATAAGTGATAAAAAGTTTGGATTACGTATGTAGGTTTTTATGCTGCCCCAAATGCGAATTGTTTTTTTTCATCTAGCCACGCCCACCCTAACTCCCACATATCTTGAAAAACCAAAAATGAAAATATTTCGGGAACTAAAAGAGCTAGAAAGATAGGCTTAGGAATATGTATTTTGGAGATGCCACTGCAACTTCCCACGAGTTTTTATCCAGCCACGCCCTTCTAACGCCCACAAACCGCGGAAAACTTTGGCGTCTATAACAATATTATGAATGCTTTCGGTTGACCTTGCATAACTTATTTCTGTTAATATCTATCAATTTACCAAAGATTTTTCGAATCGGAACATTATTTCGATTGGGGAATTTCCAATAGCAAAATGAATATTTTGAAATGGTGTAAAAAAGTAACGGGTATCTTATAGTCGCGGCACTCGACTATAGCGTTTCCTCTTTGTATTATTCTTTTTAGATTATCCTAATTCGGTTAACTTCGTCCATCGCTAAGTAACGTTAAAGCTTTTTAAATTCAGCAGTCTATTAAATACAAGAGCCGCAAAAAGTATAACGGCATTGTTTTCTATTGTTTTGCAGATCCATTTCGGATCCATAGAATCAAAAGTGTTGATTGACTAACTAGTCAATTAGCCAACTGGATAGATGGATTCCTCAGGATTGGCCACAAAAGAAAGAAATGTGTTATGTTGTTGCATTATTCAATAATAATACTAGCTTGGAGACACTCCAAATGTATACTGTTGTGGAACTGGAGTCCAAGATCCAAAGATCTTTTTTTACGCTATCGGTCAGATTTGCACTGTATCATACAGTTCCAACCGTGGATTTTTGAACCTTTGGGGATAATCGAGATTTGTCGGTCATGGTTCTAATCGTTAACAGCGTATTTCTGAAATATTAAGTCAAGCCAGACATCTTTAGCAATGTCCATTAGGATCTTATTGATTTATTATTTAAATATTATTATAACAATCTAATCTATTTATTAATCTCTATATAAATTTAGTGCATGCCAAGTGTGTACTCCGAATGCAACTAATACGGTTTGGAGTCATTGCCAATGTGTCTTAGCTGACGGAGTTGAACGCGGAATTCTGACTGCAAATCGTATGATACCCGGTCCTAGTATTCAAGTATGTGAAAATGATAAGGTTGTTATTGACGTGGAGAACCACATGGAGGGAATGGAAGTAACTATACATTGGCACGGTATATGGCAACGTGGGTCACAGTATTACGATGGGGTTCCCTTTGTCACCCAATGTCCCATTCAACAAGGTAATACCTTCCGTTATCAATGGACGGGTAACGCAGGAACGCACTTTTGGCACGCTCATACTGGTCTTCAGAAACTAGATGGACTTTACGGCAGCATCGTCGTTCGCCAACCACCTTCAAGGGACCCGAACTCTCACCTATATGATTTCGATTTAACGACCCATATAATGCTTATCAGTGACTGGTTGCATGAAGACGCTGCGGAGCGGTATCCTGGACGTTTAGCTGTTAACACAGGCCAAGATCCAGAATCCATGTTAATCAACGGCAAAGGCCAGTTTCGAGACCCAAACACTGGTTTCATGACTAATACTCCGTTGGAAATATTTACAATTACACCAGGACGTCGTTACCGTTTTCGGATGATCAATGCATTTGCTTCAGTCTGTCCAGCACAAGTGACGATTGAGGGCCACGGCATGACGGTGATAGCCACTGATGGAGAGCCAGTTCATCCTGTGGATGTTAACACAATTATTTCATTTTCAGGTATGTCTAATTTTATAATTTATGGGGTGTAAGAAAAAACATTTTTGTGTCTGTAAAAACGGAAAAATACTGTCGTTCGTACACAACCTATATTGATTCAACATGCCGAAATGGTTGGTCCTTAAGAGACTGACGATAGGGAATCTTGTTACAGGATATCTGTTAGCATATATCAGATAAACTATCTGCTGACTTTTTTCGCAACTGCCACTTGTAACCAGGTGAACGGACGGCGGAGAAATTATCGCACGATGAGGATCTGAACACACTGCGTCAGCCTCTGACGATTTTTTTTAATATTTGCTTTTACTTATTGAACCTACTTTTTATGTTGAGACTTACTAATCTTATTACTAATCTTAACATAAACATTTAACTATCAGTATACTAAGACTGCATTCTGGTTGCGCGTCCCTTAAGTCGGTCGCTGGGTGGATAAGTCATTGCGACGAAGACGTGATTGGTGGCTCAACCTTGGTAGGCCTCTCGCCAGGTGGTTAGGGTGCAATGATAGCTTGGTAAAGTACTTTCCCTCTGTTCTGCGATCACTTATTTTACTGGTGAATGTTAATTGTTTGATTGTTTTCAAGATCTTCGACTGAACTCGCTGGACAATGTCATTATTGCTATTGCTAGAGTTCCGCCATAACTGGGAGCCGTACATCTATATATAGGTTTTAGTACCGAGTTGTATTTATATTCAAGGCTAAGAGGATACCGAGCGTTGATAAGCGAATGAAGGCTGATGGCTTTTAGCTTTAGGTGTGTTCTTTTGGCTTCAATGTGGCTGCGCCATGTGAGTCTTCTGTCGAGATGTATTCCTAGGTATATTACTTCGTTTGCTTGCGAGAGTAGAGTGTTGTTTAAGGTAATCGGCGGGCAGTTTTGCCTGCTCAGGGTGAACGTAAGGTGCTTGCATTTTAGTTCGTTCACTTTAATTCGCAAACCTGAAAGCCATTATTCGACATCGACCATATGAAGAGATAGCTGCGCAGTTGCTTGCATTGGGCATTTTGAGCGGCTAAGAATATTTGTATTGTCGGCAAACGTAGATATTTTTTGCCGTGTGCTTGTCGGGATGTTTGCTGTGTAGAGGACATATAATGTTGGCCCTAGCATGCTACCTTGAGAAACTCCAGCTCCAACAGTATAATCGTCATAAATAGCAGTGTTTCACCTCACAACAAACTTTCTGTCGTAAAGGTAAGACTCTAAAAGCTTGTGGGTGCTGTAGGGAAGCATTGTCTTTATCTTGTACATTCGACCTTCTAGCCAGACTCTATCAAATGCTTGAGAGACATCTCATATAGCAGTACAGTACTCTCGATTTTCGAACGCGTTCGAAATTTCTGATGTTATCCGGTTGACCTGCTCAATTGTTCCATGCTTTTCACGAAACCCAAATTGGTGTGACATTATTCCTTCCTGGATTCTCAGATATGTGTTTATCCGAGTCATTAAGCATTTTTCGAAGAGTTTAGATAAGCATAAGAGTAGGATTATAGGTCTATACGACATGGGGATTATGTGGCCTTTTCCCGGCTTTGCTATAATTATTTGAATTGACTTTTTTCACCGCACTGTAAAATGGGTCACTGCGAGCCCAGCCGCCTTTGGAATTTCTAATATGCATCACGGTTCTTTCGGTATGCTGATTGCGGAAATGAACTTTTCGGAGTCGTGAAGGTCTCCACAAACTACACACACCGGGCGCAGTTTACAGTATGACCTTGTATTCTTGGCAGTTCGCACATTGCACCGTACGATTGCGTTTGTGCGGTTCCTCAACTGTAATTCTGCGGTGCAGGAGAAACTGAAGATTGTATTTTGGGTGCACTTCGTATTTCTTCAGGGGCTTATTTTCTGGTTCGAGCTCAACCAATTCCTGTTAAGGATATTGAAGATTGTCTTAGCTCCAAATCCTTTCATTTGTAGCGTCTTTGTTATCTCTGCAGGCGTTACTTACGCAATTAAGTACTACTTGCAGGGCCTTGCTGCTTTTTAGCTGATACGTGTAAAAGTTATTTTTATTCTCAGTAAGATAATTTGATATTACTCTGTAATTATCTTCAGACTTCATTTGAACTTTTGTTTCCTGGATGTTGCCCTTCACAAAGGGTATTATGTAGAAGTTATCCTTGCCAATAAGCTCAATAATTTTGTTGACAGGAACATTGGAACTTTTTTCTCGTATATAAATAGGCGGGGCTTAGGCTTCCTTTTCTCGACTTCAGTAGATTTGGCCGCCTCAACCTAGTCTGCGAAGATTTTAAATCGGTTTGAGTTAATGTGCGTTTCTATTGCAGCTATGCAATCCGTTGACGAATTGCTGTTAAAAAAAACTGAAATTCACAACATTGTTCTGCGCTCTTTATCATTTGGGATTCGAAGCAGACTACTGTATAGATTGTACTATAGACTGTACTATCATGCACTGTCGAACTTCTTCTTTTGTTTATCTTACAAATTGATCTCTGTAGGTGATATCATGTAAGTACTTACTTCGTACCAATTCTAACTATCAGTATTTCACGTTGGTATCGGAATCATGTTATACATGTTTTTTCACATTGTTGATACCACTATTGTTGTCGAACTATGACATGTGTATCGGTTGCCGTACCTTCTCCTTGCATAATTCTGTAAAGTTTTATATTGATATTGGCAACATTTGGTTAGGTTATATGATGCCCCAAATGTCAATTGTCTTTTCCCAATTAGCCACGCCCACCTTAACGCAAAAAAAAACCCGGAAAACCAAAAGTGAAACGTATTTAGGAGATGCCACTGCAACTTGGCACAATGCTTCATCCGGCCACGCCTACTCTAACGCCCACAAACTGCGGAAAACTGTGGGGTCTATAATATTATTATGAATGTCTTCGATTCACCTTGTATAACTTATTTCTGTTAATATCTGTCGATTTGCCAAAGATTTTTTAAATCGGAAAATTTTTCGCTAGTTATGAAGAAATTTAAGTTATAAGGCCTCAAATGGGCAGTGACGTCAGTATCAGTTACTCAACATGCTTTCTCTGAAGGTAGTGCCTTGTTAATTTCCACTTGCTAAATTAATATTTTAAAATTGTGTAAAACAGTAACGGGTATCTTATAGTCGCGGCACTCGACTATAGCGTTTCCTCTTGTTTTTTCCTTGTTTTCCAGAGATATTGATTGGTCTGGCTGATCTGCTATAACTCCTCGTGGAGTGACATAACTAGTATACTCGTATTTACACATGCTTAACTAGCTTTGGAATCTACTACAGCTGGTGCTTGTGGCTTGGTTGATCCTGGACCGGTTTCCAGATGAAGCAACGAATGCTTTAGTTTGACACACTCTAGTTTTGTGTTCAGTGTTCAAGAATTTAAACCACATTATATTTTCAATACCCCATTTAGTCTTTCGGATAAAACCTTTGATAAGAAGCATTAATATTTGTTGAGGGGGTGAGTTTCTTCTTACAAAAGGCGCAGTAGGGTACTTTGGAGCATGTATATGTGCAAATTAACAATTACGTATGCTGGTCCCATGCCGCGGTCAGTGACTTTTCAGCTGGGCAAAGATTAGTTTCCAGATGGTTAGTTTTCACTGGAATGCCTGGCGGATGCCAAGGTTATTCTTTCTCATTGGGAAGTTATGATGGTAGTTAGTTACTCCGTTGGTACGGCTCTTAACTCAGCATAACCAATTTAATAATTCAATTATAACGCCAAGCCGGAGGTTGATTCTAGCGATCTTCGCTTTATTGAATATAAAATCAAACTAAAAACTAAAGTTAACATATAGTTAAATGCCTGGCCGGTTGCCCGTGGCAGACCGCTGACCAAGCGCAAATTGCAAGAGTCGTACAGGCCAACAGAGAGGACAGCCCCTAGCGGCATATTTTGGTGGCTCCGCTCTCGGATACCAGAAGGGCAGTACAATATAAGTGTGACATAAACGATATAAGTATGATATATAAAATGTATGAGAATAATATACACAAAATATAAAAGTGATATATAATATGGCCATTATTTTCTTTGCATATCTTCTTGAAGTTTGACGAAGTCTTCTATGTTAGCCTGTTTAGTAGGATTTTCAAATTGTTCACAAATCATAAAATCTTTTATTTAAGGTGAGCGTTACGACTTTGTAATAAGCGCCGATCAGCCTGTCGGAGCCTATTGGATTCAGCTTCGTGGACTTGGTGAGTGTGGTATTCGTCGAGCTCAGCAACTGGCTATTCTTCGATACGCCCGTGGATCATATCAGCCTGCCTCTTTGCCGCCAACCTACGATGTTGGAATACCCCAGGGTGTGGTAAGTAAATATTGAAATAATAATTTCCTTTTCAATAAAGGTGATTTCTGCATAATAAATAATTGCACGGCTAAAAATATAATTAATAGTACCTTAAAAGAATATATCCACAAAACTGGACAAACACTTAAAATACAGTCACGGTATATATATATATATATATTTTTCACAAGTAGTTCATAATTTATTTATGTTTATATTCGTTATTATTGATACTGCAGTATTCAATGTTTTCTATGAAATTTATTGAAGAACGTGAAAGTCTTAGATATTGGTAAGACATTCAGAACAGATTTTTTAAAATAAAATAATATCCTAATAGCATTATTTTAATAAAACAAATAAGCTTATACCACTTCTTATAATATTATAAAACAATTGTAAAATGGTTTAAGCGTTTTCGCAATTTGGAAAAAACTCAAATAGTCAATTTTCTTAGGAATAGGAACTAATTAATAAACAAATTTATTCGAGAAGAATAACTTTTTAACTGTAAGTGTTTTAGTTTTTTATTTCTTTTTTTTTTAATATTAAGTAAAAATTAATTTTATTGTCAATATTTAGTTAAAAATTATTATATAATTATCATTTTTAAAAGGAATGTGTTTTTAATTAAAATGTAAATACGTTAAACTATTGAAATACTTTATTGATTATATTAAAACATACATAGGATTATATCACTTTTATTTCATTCCTTTTAATATGTCAGAAGAAACAATTATTTATAACTATAATCGATAATTATATATATTTCTCTATATTTTCCCAAATATCCCAATATGTACATTAACACCACAACCAAAACCGTACATACTTTGATTATCCGCACTTGTACATATCTAAAACAAAATACCGTATACCGACAAAAACGTACAATATATAAATAAGGTCATGAACCCTTTAGACGCTCAATGCAATCGTGATCGAAACGATGCCATATGCGTAAGCCAACTAAAAAACGCCCTTGAAATTGATCGTGGTATATTAGCAGAGAAGCCAGACGTAAAGATATTTTTACCATTCCGCTTCTTCGTTTACCGAGCTGAAGATCTTTTTCAGCCAAACACATATAACAGATTTTTGGGTAAGTAAAACAAAAGGTTATATTTTTTAATGCATTAAAAAAAATATTTCAGTGGCACCCACCGGAGATCATGTGATTTCACTTATCGACGAAATTTCGTACTTATCAGCACCAGCACCACTGACATCTCAGTATAATGATATAAACCCTGAACAATTTTGTAACGGAGACAATCGACCGGCGGATTGTGGACCAAATTGCATGTGCACTCATAAGATTGACATTCCACTTAACGCTATTGTCGAAGTAGTTTTGGTAGACGAAGGTAAGAATTTGTTGACACCCGCTGATGGTAAACGGTAAATTTATTTGCCTTTTATACACCTACCAAAAATTATGGAAATGGCCTTAGTAATTTGTTTTTATTTTCAACGTAAATATGCTTTCCAAAAACAGCTTAAACAGAATGCATCGTTAAGCCTAATATTAAGCTGTTTAATTTTATAAAACTATTAATAATTATCCCAGGTACTATATTTTTCCTAAAATGTTTGCATTTCTTTAATAAAAATTGTTTATAAACATTAAATTTTTCTCTACGTAGTTCAACAACCAAACTTGTCTCACCCATTCCATTTGCACGGATACGGGTTTAGCGTCATTGGTATTGGTCGATCTCCAGATTCATCAGTAAAGAAAATTAATTTAAAGCATGCATTGGACCTGGACAGGCGCGGACTCTTACACCGTCAATATACTTTGCCACCGACTAAGGATACAATTGCAGTACCGAACAACGGCTATGTTGTGTTGCGTTTCAGGGCTGACAATCCTGGTAAGCAAGGGAACCCAAGATATTAATTTGGTCTTAAACTATATGTTACCTTTTTTAGGCTTCTGGCTCTTCCACTGTCATTTTCTCTTCCACATTGTTATTGGAATGAATTTGATTTTGCAGGTCGGCAGTAACGCTGATCTGCCACCCGTGCCACCAGGTTTTCCAACATGTGGCGACCACACTCCACCTATTCCAATTAACTAAGACTCTTTCAAAATGGCGTACCCTTAACAGAAGTCAATTGGCTAAGCTTTTAAAAAAGAAGAAGGATATTCTTACGAGCTGAAAAGGACTTACATACTGATTGAACAGTTTGTAAAAAGCTTACCCAATCACAAAAATTTGTACCAAAACTGTAAATATTTTTATAAAATTTGCACAAAGCCCAGTTTTTTATATACAGCAATGAAAACACTGCCAACGTCCAATTTTATAATACTGTCGATATTCCGTGGAGTGCTGGCCCCTTTCCTTTACTATTCACCCAAAAGCTTATTATCAAATGTATATATGTAATAATACGTATGTGTGAATTTCTAGGAACTAAAAATACATTCATTAATTTATCATATAAAATAACTCGTAACTTTCAACTTGAACGAATTTCAGAAAATGTATTACATTCGTTCTGAGCTCACTATGCTGCTTATATATATATATGATTGTCATAATTTTCCGTTTACCCTTTTAAACAGGAAACATTTCAAAAATAACAGCATAAAAGTCCAAAATAATTTAAATCTTTCCTCTCGAACGTGAATTCGATAAACAAATCTTACATAAATAATCTCAGTTTGTGGACAATACCTATTTATAAAATAACCTGCGCTGCGCAATCATAGAATCTGCAAATAATAATTAACATAATTGTGCTTCATAATGTAACTGTCATTCGCAAATTACTCTCAAATTTTAATTACTAATAAAACCAAATGGTTTTACAGACGAAAAAAATATTCACTAATTTTAATTATGTTTTTTTTTACAAAATCGGGGATCTATGATTACCGGTAAATTGAAATTAAAAACATTAATATTTAACATAAACGCCCAACCATGTTTTTCAATTTGTTGGACTTTTTTTCCAATTTGTATTTGTTTTAATAAATAGAAGCCAAGATGTTTTGCCTTGATCAAATCAGAAGCGACACCACTATAATGTCTATAAGATGAATAAAAATTAAAAAAATAAGTTAAAAATGTTTAATCGAACATTCGAGGGTATATTAACTTTACTTTTATAAGCAACATTTTCAGAATTTTTGTTAATTGGTACTCCTGGCAGTCAAAAAATTTTGTTGTTTTGTAACCCAAATATGTTTATAAATGTATATGTGTAAATATTAAATAAATAATAATGCATTTAATTAGAAATATTCATATATGCATGACCACGTCTTTTCATAAGTTTACAACCCATTTATTCTCAGTATCAGCTGGTAAAAGTTTAACAGACATTTACGAGAAGTGTTTAAAACTTAAGATGACTTTTTTCAAGGGCAACGTAATTTCGATTCTCCAATTTTTTCGTTGGTGGTTCACACTGCTCAAACACATGTTCGAAGATTTTTTCTTTCGTTGTGAGAGTCGTGACTGCACGGTTGTAAGGGTTTAGCTAATTTGCTAAGGATCTCTTGACCGTAGATAAATGGGTAATGGATAAGCTAAAGCCAAGGGTATAACCCAGGTGAATCAAGACCAAAAAAAGATTAAATCACCTATAACGATCAGAACTACCTTTATCCTTTACGTCTCTAACAGCCAAACCAAAATTGCTATCCCATTGAAGCATTGTACAGATGTAAAACCATAAAAAAATTAAAATATAAATAAATAGGTACGGATCACACGAAAAAAATTACCTTAATTTTTAAACACACCTCAAGATTTTTAGTCAGGGGTGCTTAACGCTTATGCTCTGAGTGCTCATTTGTTTTTGTAAATGTTCAGAGCATGGCAAAATTATTTACTATCACATGCATATATATTTTAAAATACAAATATATTTACGTATATATATAAATATAAATATAGTATCACCAAAAACAATTTGTTATATATATATATATATATATATATATATATATACGTAGGTATTCTTTCCTCTTTTGTATGATAAGCTTGGAAAATAATATAAGTAATATTTTCAATTGTAAATACTCCAACTTTTATAAGTACAAAACCAATGTAGAAGACGAAATTGTTTATTCACCGTTTTCGCATATGTAAATACATAATAGTTTAATTTGTTCTACTCTTACGTGACAACTACGAACGGATTTGTTCCTTCGTTTAAAAGCATATAATGATTCTTACACAGTACCGTATTCACAGATTCTCAACCCTTTGGATGCCATTTGTGATCGTAAACGGCCTGATGCGGTTTGCGTATCAAATTTAAAGAATGCGAAAAAAGTTGACAAAGGCGTTTTGGTTGAACGCCCTGACGTAAAAATATTTTTACCTTTCAGATTTTTTGTGTACGATCCAAAAACTTTATTCGTACCAAATACATACAACCGATTTTTAGGTATGTCAACTTAAGTTGGATATCAAAACACTACATATTTCAGTGACTACCAATATATTTTATATATATGCAAACGCACTCCTATTTAATTGTGAAACGTTTATTAACTACACCTCAATACAATCAACACTTTCCTTTACTTATAGTTGTGCCTAGTGGGGATCATCTGACATCTTTGGTCGATGAAATATCCTACATATCACCACCGGCACCACCACTTTCACAAATTGATGACATTCCACCCGAATACTTCTGCAACGGGGACAGTCGACCTCCAAACTGTGGACCAAATTGTGAATGTACACACATGGTTGATATACCACTTGGAGCTATTGTGGAAGTAGTATTGGTCGATGAAGTGCAGCAAGTAAATCTTAGTCATCCATTTCATTTACATGGTACTGCGTTTTATGTGGTAGGACTAGGGCGTTCACCCGATAAGTCAATAAAAAAAATAAACCTAAAGCATGCTTTGGAGTTGGACCAAATGGGCATGCTAGAACGAGATTTTTCAAAGCCGCCTCTTAAAGATACAATTGCTGTACCTAACAATGGATATGTTGTTATGCGATTTCGCGCAGATAATCCAGGTTATTGGCTTTTCCATTGTCACTTCCTGTTTCATATTGTCATTGGCATGAACCTGATCTTTCATATCGGAACCTCAGCTGATCTACCACCAATTCCGCCACAATTTCCTAAATGCGGCGACCACGTACCGCCCGTTACTTGGTACTAGTCCGCTGATATATAGATATTAAGTTTAACCATAGAGTAATTAACATAGTATAACATAGTTATATCTAATACTCCTGTGCTGCTGTTCAAGGGCTTAAATATTTTTTTATATAATATAAATATAAAACATCAAACTTGCAAAGAAGACCAATAAAAGTTTCTTAATAACAGAAACCAAATCAAATAAAATAATAATAATAACTCAACCATTTTCAATTTGTAGTCGCTTCAGACGCTGATCATCTCATATCACTTATCGATGAGGTTTCGTACGTATCTCCACCTTCCCCGATGCTGTCTCAATATAATGATATACCCCAAGACTTATACTGTAATGGAGATAACCGTCCAATAGATTGTGGAGAAAACTGTCAGTGTACTCATAAAATCGATATACCTCTGAACGCAATTGTCGAAGTCGTGCTTGTGGATGAAGTTCAGCAGGTTAATATAAGCCACCCTTTTCATTTGCACGGTACCTCCTTTTATGTGTTAGGTCTTGGTCGCTCTCCGGATACTCATATAAAGCGTATGAATCTAAAGCATGCTCTGGACCTTGACCAAAGGGGATTGTTAGAAAGACAATATTTAAAGCCTTCTTTAAAGGATACCGTTGCTGTACCAAATAACGGATATGCTATTTTACGCTTTCGAGCGGATAATCCTGGATTTTGGCTTTTTCATTGTCATTTCCAATACCATATTGTAATAGGCATGAATTTGGTTTTTAAAGTAGGTACTTTTAAAGACTTGCCTCCTGTGCCACCAAATTTTCCACGCTGCGGAAATCATTTGCCGCCCTTAATTTAACAAGACTTATCTGACCTGGATATATAATTACGTTAAAGACAGCTCAGAGAAAAATATAATTTAAGTAATGCGAATGTAAGCTTATCTTTACAATAAATTAGAGTTTTACAGAAAAACTATATTTTGTTTAAACCTTAAAAAAACAGTCAATTCACAGGCATTATGACCTAATGCCCTTTTTATCTTTTAAATGTAATCTATGGTTAATGTTTATGTGTGGAAGCGTTTACAAAGATGGTGGTAATTTTGTTGTAGTATTATGAACTATACTTTTATATGACTTTTGTAAAATCCTGTCATTTTTTCAAATACCAGTGTCTTCGATTAGTATATTTCGATGAAATTCGCCTTTCACATCTGAATTTTTAAATTTTTGTGCGTTGAACTCTTTCATACATAATAATTAACTAAGATATTTGTTATTGCTTTTACAAACTACAAATACAATGCAGTCTATCTAACCAAAAAAATTGTTTATCGTTTGTTACGAGCATATTATCGTCGTCATAATCGCCCTAGTGAATCAACAATACTAATATCACAAAATTTCCCAAATCATGCGGATAACGCCCCTCGATAATTTTTCTTGGGGCTATGTAATGTCGTTAGTCTATGTAGACAAGCCGAACACGATTAAAACCTTACAAGAAAACATAACACGCGTGATTCGTGGAATACAGGCAGAAGTGCTCGACAAAGTGACGCAAAATTGTATTTTCCTAATGGACTACTTGAAATTATTTTACATGAAATTATTTTTAAAGCGAAAATGGCAAAGGCCGATTTATAGATTCCGATAAATATGTTGATGTTTTAATGCAATTTCGAGTGTTTTCTTTGTTCGTCAACTATCGCTTAGTATTTAGTTTTGCCAATATGCCATCTTTATATTTTGTATACCCATTAGACTTAAGATCCTCGTATCAATGTATACACTTTATGGATAAGTACCACATATACAACATTGCAAATTTTCTTTAGTATCAATTAGACAACGAAACAATTAAGAACAATAAAATATACAATCCACTTAAAGGGCTCTACGCATTTAGGATCATCAGTCCTTTGAGCCGGACGTTTTTGTTGTTTTCTGTGCATTGATTCTTACAGTAATTGTTTTTTAATGGAGCAATTAGGAGCATTGGTATAGGTACGAGCCAGACTCAACGTCACATATCGTAACATTGCAAATTTTCTCCACATACGGCAACATTGCAAATTTTCTTTAGTATCAATTAGACAACGAAACAATTAAGAACAATGAAATATACAATCCACTTAAAGGGCTCTACGCATTTAGTATCATGAGTCCTTCGAGCCGGACGTGTTTGTGGTTTACTGTGCATTGATTCTCACAGTAATTGTTCTTTTATGGAGCAATTAAGAGCATGGGTGAAGGAACAAGCCAGACTCCACGCCTGGGTCTTGTCTTGGGCTAATTGGATCCGGAGCATAAAAACGCTATCTATGAGGAAAAGTATCTACGGGGGGATGCATTACATTCGGCGATGGGAGGTATAAGACCTAGCCCATCTATTTTGAACAGCGAGAACGGTAGCAGCGGTCTGCAAATTAAAAACGACAAAAAAAACAACAATTGTTTGAGCAGTTGGCGGTAGATCGCACCACTGCAAAATTGTCGAGTCCTGCAAGAGGTGACATCAGTGCTAAAATTCAAATTAAACGGTTCGCTGGAAATTATTAGGGGCGGCCCTCTATCAAAGACATTTTCAAGATCACAATTCACAACAAGGCGAATCGACATAAACACACAAATTTCATCATTTGAAATCTGTTCTTATCGATGAAGCTGAAAATTTGGTGCGACATCTATCTACTACGGATGCAGCTTACAACACAGGTTGGGGCGACTTATCGTGAAGTCTTTTATGGAGCAGTTTATGAAACTGCCAACAATAAATGGTCTAATGCAACAACCTTGTGGAAGGTGCTAGACGGCGCAAACGAAATTGTGAGTGGTCTGCATTCCATCGAGGAAACAGGACGAGACTGTTGGACGCGACGCAGGTGGGTCGAACGCAGTGCGGAGTTAAACCACACACATGTCATCCACATTTGGGGAATTCTTCAAATTTTTGGATGCGCTTTGCGATGAGCTGGAGCTAAGCAAGATCACCAAATGCCATTCTACAGAACATCGTCTGTATCGATGTCAACAATTCTTGGGTGTGTCTGTAGACAGGCCAAGAACAATTGTCTACAATTGTCTGAAACCTGGCCATGTTGTCAGAAAATGTAAGTCGACGTTCAAGTGCAGACTATGTAAAGGTCAGAATCATTCACTGTTACATCTGCAAGGTACGAAACACGCTATGGGCAAAATTGCTCAAAATAGTGAGGATCAGGATAATCCTAACGGTCAACGGTGACTATTGCTGACGTCACTCAAACAGAAAGCTTTGAAGCAATTGTATGTGCTCAAGGCGCTGCAAATTCAACACAAGCACCATGCCGACGGCTATGGTCAACGTTCACAACGCTAACGGGGATTTGGTGGGATGCAGACTCCTTTTGGACACAGGCTTAGAAATGTAATATGTATCGAAAGCTGTATTCACGCACTTTATTTGGCTCGTAAGCCATCCATTCGTAAATTTTTGGATAGGTGATCACATCACTGTTCTCAACACTAGCAACACTATGGCACTTACAACGACATTCGAAATCGATGCCTCTTTCAGATGATTCTGGGAACTGGAAAGCATTCATCGCAAGGCAGAAATTCAACGTGAAGACGAAGAGGTCGAGAAACACTTTCTCAACACACACACAATTAAAACGATAATGGCACGTACATCGTCGGACTTCCTTTTACAAGGACTTCCTTCAAGGAGTTCTGCAGCGGTTCAAATAGGTTGAACGGCGTTTTAAGTAAGGACTACGTAAACTACATGAGAGAGAATCAAACTCTGGGACACATGCGAGAAATCTCACCCAGCGAATCGTGACGCCAAATCGGACATAGTCAAAATGTTTCGACAAATCTGGGTGAGTGAAAAACATAGAGACTTTCAGAGAATCACATGGCGAGAGGATCCGTCGGATCCTACCAAGCACTTCCAACTTTGAATGGTGACGTATGGAACATCATGCAAACCATGGCTACCAGTTTGAGTACTGGAGGAACTGGCTGCTGACCACCAGAAAGAGTTTCTTGTAACTGCAGCAAAAATCTGGATGGAAGACTTCTATGATGATGTGCGATTCAATTATCTCAAAACACCAATCTCCGAAACGAGCATCAACTTCTTTTACCTTTGGGGGCAAGGATTCGATGAATGCAAATCGCTAAAACTGGCTTTCAATAGAACTTCTAGTTACTACTCGCTAGCAAGCCCCTTTTAATTAGTAAAGCTCTCACCATTAATCGACAAGGGCAATCCGCTCAGAGTGGGAGGACGAATACAACACTCACAGTTGTCGGCAGAGACAAATTCTCCATTTTTGCTTCTAAAGCTCATCGAATCACTACCTTGATCATAGAACATTAGCACCGAGTCAACCTGCATCCTGGAGACTCATCTCTTTTTGTTATTGTCCGGCAACGATACTGAATATTCCGCACTCGGAAATTGATACGCAAAATCACACACAATAGTTTGGAGTGTTTTCATCAGAAACAACACACAATGCATCAACGCATGGTAGATCTACCACACGTAACATGCAAGCACTTCCTTCTGAAGGACTCGAAGTTGCGCTAACTGCACATCAGCAAGGGCTACATATGCCTATTCGTATGTATGGTTACTTCGGCGATAAATCTAGAACGCGCTACTGACCTATCTACAAATACATTCATGGCGGCGTTGAGTCGATTTTTCTCTACACGGATGTATAGCGACAACGGAACAAATTTCATCGTAGCGAAGCGATCCCTCTATGAAATCCAGCAGTTACTGATATCAACACAGCACAAGGATCACGTTGTGAATACTCTGACAGACGAAAGTATCCAATGGATTTTACCCCACCTCGTGGTCCACATTGGGGAGGAAAGTGGGAATCAGCAGTTGCACTTACATACATATGAGCAAATTCGCACCTTGCTTGCGGAGATCAATGCGGATATAAACTCACAGATGTCACCAGCCAGTTTCCTAATACGGCGCCCGCTTACGACTTGTACAGCTCTCATCATTCATCGATAAGGACAACCTGTTCAGAGTGGGAGGACGAATCCAGCACTCACAGTTATCGGCAGAGACAAATCCTCCATTTTTGCTTCCAAAGCTTATCGAATCACTAACTTGATCATACAACAACAGCCCAGTATAAATTTGAATACGGAGTATCATCTCTCTTCGTTATTGTCCGTTATTTTCGTTACTTCGTTATTTGTTGACGTGTTTTCGTCAGAGACAACACACAATGTTTCAAAGTATGGCATATCTACCCCGCTTATCACGCAAGCACTTCCATTCCTGAACACTGGATGCGACTATTCAGGATCCCTACTTCTGAAGGGCTACATATGCCTAGTATAAATTTGAATACGGAGTATCATCTCTCTTCGTTATTGTCCGGCAACGATACTGGATATTCGGCGCTCGAAATTTGATACGCAAAACTACGCACAATTTGTTGACGTGTTTTCGTCAGAGACAACACACAATGTTTCAAAGTATGGCATATCTACCCCGCTTATCACGCAAGCACTTCCATTCCTGAACACTGGATGCGACTATTCAGGATCCCTACTTCTGAAGGGCTACATATGCCTATTCGTATAAATGGTAACTTCGGAGATACATCTAGAACTCAGTGCGGTTGTCAACTCACGATCCTTATCCTACACATCGGATACTGATGTCACCAGCCCATTTCCTAATCGGGCAACCATTTATTTCCATTTCCCCGGAAGCGGATCTTGGCTACATTCCTGTGGGCCGTTAAGGATACTGGCACAGTATCCAATCGATATATCAAGACTTCTGGAAACAATAGCACCACGAGTACCTGATAAGTATTCACCAGCGACCAAAGTGGATGAA